CGTTTCAACTGTGTCACAGACCAACAAAGAAATCAAACTTAGCCATACAGAGTTAATTTTTAATTTGTAATTCAAATTGCTATAATGGTTTTATGTCACAAGGCTTCATCTCAGAAGCTAAATGCTCACTTCTTAACGTGTGTTTATGTGTGTTTCTTGCATTAATCACTTGAAGAAGCTTTCTGGGCAAGTGCAGCAAAGAAGATTTATTGAGTGGGAAACACCCACAGTATATTGATACTTGATACTAAATACTAAAAAATCTTTCGACACAATTGATCACAGTATTCTTCTTGAAAAATTAAGTAAATATGGTATTAGAGGATCGGCACTACAATGGGTATCTAGTTATTTGAAAGATAGGAAACTGTTTGTACAGATAAATGGTGTAAGGTCTAAACTTGGTAATATCACATGTGGAGTCCCTCAAGGCTCTGTACTGGGACCTAAGTTATTCATTTTATATGTGAATGACTTAGTAAATGTGTCAGGACTTTTCAAATGTGTTTTATTTGCTGACAATACAACAGTTTTTTTGTTTAGGTAAAGATATAGAAAAATGTTTGAGATGGTACAGAATGAATTTGAGAAAATACAAAGTTGGTTTCAACAAAACAGACTGTCATTAAATTTGGATAAAACAAATTACATGATATTTAGTAATAGGAAGACAACTGTTGATTTTTCATTCAAAGTAGATGGTACTGAGCTCTGTAGAGTCAGTGAGGTGAAATTTCTGGGTGTCATCATTGATGACAAGCTGACATGGAGACCTCACATACATTATTTAAGAACCAAAATATCTTAATCTATGGGAGTACTGTATAAAGTCAGGGAGTTATTCAATGACAAGGCTCTGCTTGTGTTGTACAATTCAATAATTGTTCCACATTTAATTTACTTTATTGAAGTCTGGGGTAAAGCTTGCAAAACAATTACAAATCCAATTTTTATTTTACAGAAAAGAGCCATGAGAATTGTCGCGAGAAAAGATTACAACCATCCATCAAATACAGTATTTTGCAAATTGAAATTTTGAAATTCCATGATTTGGTTAATTATAATATTTTACTGTTTCTGTACAAGGCTCATAAGAACATATTACCTTCCAACATTCAGGCAAACTTTGTAAAGAGAGACAGATGTTATTATCTAAAGGGGCTGGAACTGTATGTGAAGCCATATTTTCATACTTGCTTGAGAGAAAGATGTAATTTAATCCAGGGTATAGGATTGTGGAATGGTCTGGAGGATGATCTTAAAAATGCCAGATCAATGTATATATTTAAGAGACAGATAAAAGCTAGTTTTCTGAAGGTATATGAAAGAGCAAAATGTGAAACTGTATGAATTGTTGTTTGGGTTGATGTTTTTATCTTTATTTTTATTTTTATTTAGTATTGTTTTGTAAATTATGTTTTCTTTGAAAAGGGGCAGACATTATGATTTATTCTTCGTCTGCTACCTTTCAATTTATTGTGATGTTTTGATTTGTGTATTTTCTTAATTTCTATTGTACAGTATACAGTTATTTTGTTTTTAATGAAATGAATACGTTTTTTGAATTGAGTTGAAAAAAAATAACTGAAAGTAGCTCCTCAACCACGAGTACCTGATTTAGGGGAACAATTCTGCATGCATTTTTGGTCAGTCACCAGTATTCTCTCTGGAACAACTTGTCATTCTGTGATTAGTTTGAAAGTAGGAGAAAAGTAAAAATGACTTCATATAAAGGCTCTTCATAGCTCATTTATTTTCATCTTAAGAACACCAACTCTCATTAAAAATCCCTTGATTCACACGTCTTAAAGCAAAAACTGATGTTAAGTCAAAGATGAAAAAAGAAATTACGGAAACAAGACTGTTTTTTTAACTTAAGAAACGGTTTTCTATGAGTTTTATACAAATCAAATTAATAACATTGAGGGGTTTTCTGTGACTTCTATTTATTTTTCTATTAAACACTGAATTCATAAGGTATTGACTTAAGTGAAAAAAAGAAAATTTGTTGAGCCAATATGAAACAGTTAGGTATGATGTATGAAACAAACAGCTAATAGAGAAGTACTTCATTGCTGCAGAATTATTTGTTTTAGTGCGTTCCTCAAAACACCTTTTTCAGCCATGAGTTCCATCTTATTTATTCTGCTTTTACAGTTTGTGGAGACACTTCCTTTATGCTTCCAGCTGACATTTTAAATGACGATGTCACAGCTTTGCTCTACTGGGGTCTTTATATCTAGTCATGATGCAGAAAGTTAGTCCATTCGAAGCAGATGTCGAATGCCGAGTTCAAAATTCTTTCACACGTTTGTTCCCTCCATCCTCCCAGTTTCACTCTTGCATTCTTAGTGTGACAGCATGCTGAGAACTCATTATGTAGAATCACTTCTTTTCACCCTGCGCACAGTGCTCCCAAGGATTCACTTTCCAGAACATGCGAGGCTTTAGTTAGCAACCGATCCATGGCTTTTATGTGAGGCACTTTCAAAAGACGACACATCCTTGACACCTTCTTCTTCCACAGCTGCGTTCAGCAAGATGAATTCAAATGAGAATAATGTGAGGGGTTAAAGAAGCCCAATTATTTAGACAGAATAAACTTAGTTTTGTTAATTTTACCGTAAGCATTATCGGTTTTGTATGGCATTTTTTGCAGGCAGCATAGAAAGCAAAGTTCAGTCAAGGAAATGTTTTGTTTTATTCAATGTGCTTCTCTTAACAAGCCTCAACATAAATTAATTTTTAAAGTGAAGTTTAGTTAGAAAAAGCTTTGCTCAGCCACAGAAAGATCCCCTCTTATTTTTATTTCTGTGTGTGTGTGTGTGTGTGTGTGTGTGTGTGTGTGTGTGTGTGTGTGTGTGTGTGTG